GAACCTGCAATTACACCTCAACAATTGTCCATCTTCTATATACTCAACTTCATAAGTGAACTCCTTGCAATACCAATCATTCACTATACATCTCTCTGTCACCTTGAACTTCTCAACACCATCGTCCTGCACTTCCTCATCAATATGTGGAGTTACATTGCAGTACAACATGCACCTTATCTCGTCTTGAACAGCCTTGAACATCCCTTTTATGAATGCTCATTGAAACTGCCTCTCCCATTAAAATTTAGAAATGCACTTAATCACTATATCTTTACTTCTAAAATCAGCATAAAATTCCTTCTCCATTTTATCGTGCATAACAATCTCATACTGATCCACAAATTGTTTAAGCATGCTCATCAAATTCACATACCCATCAAAATATGCATGCATGCCCTCACTCCTATGAGTTGATAGCATTTTGGCCCAAATATGTTGTTCAAATAGATTGGCACCCAATTCGCCCTTTCTATGACAAGCTTTAACAACCATTCATTTTCATGCAATCCATGCCTCTCCACGAACTCATTCCAATTGCTATCGAACATCTCAAAAGTTAAGTTGTCATATATGACAACTTTAACTCACGAACTACAATAACATAGTCTGCAAAACTTCTCTGGAACTTTACATAGAATATGCCACAAGCAAAATCTATGAACAGAATTGAGCATGACTTCTGAGACGGCTTTCTTGATACTTTTGCATTGATTAGTCATTATGGTATTTGGATGAACGTCTCCCATTGCTGACAACCAACAAGTGAACAACCATTTAAAAGTATCATCATCCTCATGTGAAATCAAGGCACAACCTAATAAAATGGATTGCCCATGGTGGTTGATGCCCACAAATGTCGCGAATGGCATTTTGTACAAGTTCACTAAGTATGTTGTGTCGAAGCTAACAACATCACTAAACTCCTTATAAGCAGCTTTGGAACGAGGATGAACCCAAATGACATTGGACAACCTAGAATCGCTGTCAACATCAATCAAGTGAAAAAAATCTATATCTCTTTGCTACATCCTCAAGAATAATTGGTGGATTAGCTCAACATCACCTTTACCAAGTCTCAACCTCTTTTTTTTTTTTTTTTTCAATGAAATTGCGACAATCCTTTGGCAAACATGTTAGATTCTAAGGGCCACCAGATTGGACTTTAAGCAACCTAATGCTTTTGCAAAGCCTAATCCTAGCAATATCATTAGCCTCTAGATTTCTCCTCACTTCAGGATTCAAATTCATGTGCCCTACCATGAGCTTACACATTGATGGATCCAAATCATGATTGTGATTTGTCTGAACTTTTGTAACTTGCCACTTTCCATTAGATCTTAGAATCGCACTTAACCTAGCAACATAATTTGTCCTCTTCGAGGACTTCTCATAATATGTTTTCCTTCCTTTGTCACAACTAATAGTCTGATATCTTCCATCACCATTCCTCCCATTTCTTGTTGATTTCTTCGTAATAAAAGCCTTTATATTTTGCATGCTCTTTATATGCCTTGAAGAGAGATTCCAATAAGCTATGGAAAAAACATACCTAGCTAAGGACCATGTTCAACAGTCACTTCCGTTTCATTAGTACTTGCTTTGGTATCCGAATTTACAATTTCATTACCATGGGTCACTCCACCCTTGTTCACATCATAGGTCATTGAGTTGTCATCTTCATTGTTATCGAAAATTGCTTCCAATACTGCGTTTCACTCTCTGGATTCCATAGTTTCCTTCCAAATCGAACAATGAATAATGCTTTGCTTTCAACACAAAAATCAGCACTTATTAATAAACAAAACCATACCAAACAAAATATGAACACTTAGATTACAAAACAAACTTTCATAGTTGTCTAAGTTCTTAATTCATACATTACAAAACAAACTTTCATAGTTGTCTAAGTTCTTAATTCATACATTACAAAACAAACTTCATGATTTCTCTTTAAATTAAACCAATTTCATTACAACTTCTCTAGCTGCTAAATGTTTACATGTCTACCATTTTGGTCTTAAATTTCTTTCTTTCCTTTTTAAAGTCTCAGACTATCAATACTAGATTTTTATTTCGTATTCAACTATTAACGAAATTAAACATAAATTAACTTAATTAAACTATTTAACCCTTGAATTAGTAATTTAATCAATAATTGGTATTTTCTTCAAAGAAAAAGAATAAGGCAAAAGTGAAATTATTAATAAGAAGATGGAATACAAGATAAGTCAGAAGGGAAATTTATTATGATGGAGTTGATTATTAGAAATAATAAATAATAAATATTATATTTAACCCTCTGATGTTGTAAGAATTTATAAAATTGTGTAATTAATGGAAACAAATAAAAAAATATACAAAGACCATCGAACAAATAAATGAAATTAGAGAACATGATCCATCCTTGTTGAGCCAAAGCAATTAAATAAAAAAGTATGTGTCTGTGTGCGCGTATTGTTGTTTCAATTCATTGTTCTTACCAATTTCAAAATATTATTTCTTCAAATAAAAAAGGAATTACTATCCATCGTCCCCAACTTTCCTTGTCAAAATCCTAATTGTTTTAAAAGTAAAAAGTGGCTGTTACAAAATCTCTCAACACCTAGAACTTATTCTTCACTACAAATACGAAAACAAGTATTAGATAACTATAATACTCTCTTATTCTTCTTCGAAACTCTTAGGTTTTTAGATATGAACATTTTTTATCCAACTCTCTCTATTTTATCACAATATGAACTAGCATTTTTTATCCAACTATCTCTATTTTATCAATATACAAAAAACAGTAATATATAGAAAACATTTTTTTATCTTGTTCTCTCTATTTTGTCAATATTCATATCAATATCTAGAATACATTCATATCAATATACATAAAAAATTGATAATTTGATATACGGAAAACAATATTTATACAACTCTCTCTATTTTATCCACACAACATTCAGATCAATATACAAAAAACATTTTTTATCCAACTTTCTCCTTTTTATCCACATAACATTCAGATCAATATACATAAACATTTTTTTTTATCTAACTCTATCTATTTTATCCACACAAAATTCAGATCAATTACATAAAACATTTTTTATCCAGCAAGCTATTTTATCACAATATGAACTAGCATATTCATTTGTTGGCCACGAAAATGAGATAAAACGGTGTACCTTTGTATGAAACTATGTTGAAAATCAATGCATTTCACTTTTGGTGCTTCTCATAAGGGATTGCACTTGCAAACGATTTTGACACAAGAAAAAAACATGCACAACCTCCATCATCATCCACATCTATGCATTTCTACCCGGCCAGTCATCTCATTGCTTAGATAGTCTTTATCATTGTCTATACCTTATTTATATCGTACCAACACCCGTGAGATTATTAACTCTGTTTCTTTCAATGTTCATAGCAAATACAAAAATATCATTACACCCATCTATTCATATACTTGTATCTCCAAAACTCGTAGCTTCATTCATCTCATTTTTCCACCTTTTATTATAATGAGCTACTGAAGTTTACCTTTCTTTTTTTTTTTTTGAAAAGAAATTTGATTATTACAATAAATTAATTCTAACTTCTATTCTTAGAAATATTGAAGTAATTATTACTTTTCTCTCATCCTTCCATAATGTCAATGGAGGAAATTGTTTTTTCTCCAAAAGGCAGGGTTTAGGAGCCAAAAAAAAAAAAAAAAAGCTTTTATTGAAGAGTAAATTTGTAAATTTACCTTTCGAAAAAAGTTTTTGATCCGAATCAACATATCCAAATAGTACTGTCCTAAAACCCTCATTTTAGTGATTCGAGATTCATCACCCCCAATGGAGGCAAACAACACAATAACATTATCAAAATAGAGTGCCCAACTGGTGTTTTATGGTTATGAACATAAATTCGAGTTAAGATGAAATCTTGTATCTCCCATATATGGCTGCTTCATATAAACGAGAATTTCATCTTATTTTAGTAGCTCCAAAACCCTTGACCATTAATGTATATATATATACATATACATATGTATAATAAAGGAAGATATATGATGACAATATAAAGAAAATATTTTTATTTATTTAACAATTGTTTACATTATTTTAGAAAATCACTGTACTCTTGGGGCATCACCCCAACATTAAGGTGATTAGAATACCCCATTTTTGCTTGAAAATTAAATTATAATTGAGACAATAGGAGAAATTGTGAAGTTATTCATGGAAATCACATTATGAACTTTTCTTACAATTTTGCATGCTTGGATTGAAATTTGAGAATAAGTAAGTTAATCATATCAAAGTGCGTTTTATTGATCAGGATTAATTTTGTCTCTTTTGTGTTGTTTAGGGGTCAAACTCATATTTACATTTGGGGTTGATTTTGTTGCTTTTATTTTGTGTGGAGGTCGATTTGATATTCTATAAAGAAAAAATAACAAATGGGGAGAAGCGATTGAACCTCATTCTAGCGAAAGTTTCTTGAGGATAGAACTTTAAATTTTCAAAATTTTAATTGTTAGTATAATTTAGTTAATATACATAACATTACTCCTTTAGTATTGTATTGCTTAATATAATAATAATTTGATGACAGGAGTTGGAAAAATTACCCCTATTTTATAATTAACCTTTACCTTACAAAAAAAAAAAAAAAGTTACCTAGTTACAAACGAGCACGCGTGCAGTAGCTCACTAGCCGCGTCACATGGCGGTGAAAAGTCAAAGATGGTGACACGTGTCGGCATATGAATCAAACCTCCACCTCTCCACATCAAACTATGCATACTCGCCAGGATAAGCACAATAAGTTCTTAAAACTATTAAAAGGACACGTTTTCCGACTATATGAGCGATTATAACTGTTTTATACTCGAAGGCGTACGCATTGCTCGATCCAATTTTATGAATAACTGGATTACGTTATGTAAAAGGTATTGAATCAAGTTTTAATTAATCAGCACGATCTACACATAACACTACAGCCGTCAGATCTTGACTTTTGGCGGTGCAGCTAATGTACGGTTGTGATTCGTTCAATAGCGGCAGGCAGCGAGACCAATATGTGCCTTTAAGTAGAGATCAAATGAGCGTAAACCGATCACACTCTCTCCCTCTCTCTCGTCTCTCTGTGTTTCTTTTCTCCATGCGAAGATTGGCGAAGTTTAGGGTTTCTTCCAATCAACGGCTATTCGCGAGATCCAGGTTTTGAATTGGGTTCTTGTGAAGCAGGTTTCAATTAGGGTTTTCATTTTAGGGCTTTCTAATTGGATCGAATTATTTCGGGTCGATGCAGATTATTGTTTAGCTTCGACTCGATCTAGGGTTTATTGTCATAGGAGTCTAGGTTCATTATTGTAAGTATCATTCTTTTCGTTTAACTCTCTTTAATTCATCGTAGAGTTACTCAGTTTCTTACCGACAAAGCAAGGAATTCTTTTTTTGAATTGTTTAGAGACTACATTGCTTGGATACAATGAAAAAGTGAAAAGTAACAAAATTAGGTTTTAATTAAATTTATAATTCATCAATCATGCAATCAGTGATATAGTTATCAATGAAATGGTTACGGGAACATAAACAAATGATTGCAAACAAAGGGAAATGTTAGTAGTGAAAATTTAAACTGTGTAAATCGATGTAAAGCCCGAAACATATCTGTGGATAAAGGAATTACTGCTGCTGTTGTGCTAAAGAATAGTTTTGACCTCACTTGTTAAGTTTTTAAATAATTTGAAGAAGTGGGTATGGTGGAACCTGGAATCAGAAATTGGAGAGTGGCGTGAGTTTCTATCTTTCCTAATCTGTGTCAATATTCGAGAAAGGGAACTGAATTTTGTGTCACAGTTGATATGTGCAGTTCTTTGAAGGCAGTATTCATATGGCACCAACTGTTCCCATAGAGTTTGCTGGGCAAAAGGAATCAAAAAAGTGTTCGATTTCACAAATAATGGGGAAATCTAGAAAATACTCTAAAGGGCATTCTTCCGGTTTTGTTCCGGATTACCGACATGTTGTTGAGACCATGGCTGAATCTGGAGGGTTTGGGAGCTCAGGAAGAGTGGACACTGAGATGATGGCTTCTGAGGATTCATGTGCTCCAAAAAGAAGCTTGAATGTGGATGATTATGATAGGCTAGGTGTACCTTTACAGGTATTGACCTTGTCGAAGATGTCACGGAGTGAAAGAAGGAATTTGGAATTTAGGTTGAAAATGGAGCTTGAAGAGGTCCGGGTACTTCAGAATAAAGTTGCTTCTCTTACTTCCAATGTTGTACTCTCACCATCCAGTGATATTCGCAGCTTTAGTGATGGGCAAAAGAAGCCTTCATTAGAGAGTTTTCAGAGACCATCTGAAGCATCGGCTCCAAAGGGTAAGAAACGTGCTCCTACAGGGCGTAACGGTCCCCAAATAAAAAGGAGTACTTCTAGGCGGTTTGACTCAGTAAAGCTGGCTGCACCTGTGAATACATCGAATGCGGTGTTGATGAAGCAGTGTGAGCCATTACTTAACCGGTTGATGTCACATCAGTTTGGTTGGGCTTTTAACACTCCAGTTGATGTAGTGAAGCTGAACATTCCAGATTATTTTACTGTCATCAAGCATCCAATGGATTTGGGCACAGTGAAGAGCAAGTTAGTTTCAGGACAGTATTCGAGTCCATTGGTGTTTGCTGCTGATGTGCGCCTTACTTTCTCAAATGCAATGACCTACAACCCACCTGGAAATGATTTTCATATCATGGCTGGGACTCTTAGTAAATATTTTGAAGTGAGATGGAAAGCTATAGAGAAGAAGCTTCCGATGACTACCGATGCGCCATCAGTGCCTTCAAGAGCAGGCATTATTGCAGAAACTGAAACTGCAATGGGAATGCAACATGCAAAGAGGAAAACAGCTCCCCCCAGTGATAAGCCCAAGCAGGAGCCTGTTAGACGGGTCATGACTACTGAGGAGAAGAGTATTTTGAGCACGGAATTGGAAGCTTCTCTTGATCATTTGCCGGAAAACATTATTGACTTCTTAAAAGAGCAGAGTTGCGGTGCAGGCCAGATTGCTGAGGATGAGCTGGAGATTGATATTGATACTCTCCCTGATGATACCTTATTTGAATTACGGAAGATGTTAGATGATTATTTGCTGGATAAACAGAAAAATCAGGCAAAAGCTGAACCTTGTGAAATGAAGGTATCTGTCTTTCTGTCATACTTGCTTGCTTTTGTAGTTTGGCATTTCCCCTCTTGCAATATATGCTATGTATATTGAATTTTGCTGTGAATTTTTTTTCTACAGATTCTGAATGAATCTGGGTTTAGCAATTCATCAATGCAACTAGGTAAAGGTAACGTTCTAGTCCTCAGCTTTGATATCTTAATAGATTATTGACCATCAAATAGTGCACATATGTGCTAATTACAGGTTTTTCATTGCTATTGAAAAACTGATACATTATATTTTTTCAGGGAATGGCATGGTTGATGAGGATGTAGATATTGTTGGTGGAAATGATCCTCCTATTGCAAACATACCTGCAGTAGAGATTGAAAAGGATGCTGCGCAGAAAAACAGTAGTTCTAGTAGTTCCAGTAGTGAATCAGGCTCCTCATCCAGTGGTTTGTATTTCTATGAAATTTAGTATTTAAATTCTAGTTGTTTTTTTCTTTTTTTTTTTTTAATACCTCTAAGATCCAGAGTAAGTTCTTGTTGATCTTTTTATGGCCGGCAACTTAAAGCATTATATGAAATATTAAGAGCTCATGAATAAATCATGTGTATTTTCTATTTTTTCCTCTCTATCTATCCAAGGGATGGAAGGGCTAAGGCCTTTGGTGTTCCTTCCAGTTAAGAATTTTGGCCACAAAGTCCCTAGCCAATATGCTTTTCTTGTGTGCCTTTCTTCATTCATAGTTCGGTATTCTGGTGTCCTAGGCGTAGAGGAACCACACCGATTGGGGGCAGTGGCTGTATTGTGCAATAATTGTCTTAAATTTTCCTAACTTTCCAGCTACCCTCAGTGAAAGCCTATGGTGCTTCGTGGCTGAGAATTACTTGTCCTAAATTCTCTTTCCGTTTTCTTCTAGATGAGTTGCATTTTTTACATTATCTGTTTGTGAGTATGGTGACTGACACTTGATACACAATTGGTGTAAGTCTAGGAATGATATATACTTAAGCTCTGTTGAAAGGGTTTGTCCAGGTTCTATTGTTGCAATAGGTCTACACATCATTTGCCATTCATTTCTGTCAGGTTCCCATGTTACCTTGTGGGTCATGGAGCTCAGAATAGTTTCTATATCAGCAGCACTCACCATAGGATGTTCATATATATTTGTTTTTTCTCCTTTATGCTTGAGGGAAGAAATTGTCCAATTTTCATTTGTCATTTTCTGAGCTTTAGAAATTATATCAATATATTTCTGCTGCTTCATTTCATTTGGTAGGTGATTCTAGTAGTTTATTACATAGCATAAACACATGAAATCCTCCTTATTAAACATCTATTTCTTTTTCTATTTTTTTAAGATTCAGATTCAGGTATTTCATCTGGCAGTGAATCAGATGCTGCTAAAGCTTCAATTTCTGCTGATACTATTGAGGTATATCTTAATGTTAGAAATCAAATCATTTTTACCACTTAGAGGCTCCATGCGTGAATTGAATGCCTCCTCATTTTGTGAGGAGGCAATCCTTAGGTTGAGTACTTGTTTTTCTCCGTTGTTGAGTAAGTAGGTTTCATCTGACATCGTCCTTATTTTAGGGAAACTTGGGTTCTGGAGCAAATTTAGACGAGAAGATAAGTGAAGTTGGTGTATCAGACATTGGAAATTGTGAGTCCTAGGGCCTGTATGTCTGTTGTTGCATGTTTTATTAATTTATTCTTTGAAACCTTTGTTTCTACGCTAATGTTTCTCTAAAGTTCTGCTTTTGCATGTCTTGTACAGCATCAGTAAATTTGGATCCACTTGAGCTGAATTGTCAGGGTAAGCCTATTGCTATTGAGGTGGATGGCCATCATGAGGGTAAGCATAATAATTAAGAAGACTGTGTGATGATTTCTTTGGGCCTCATCTCACCAATCATGCTATATAACATTATAGAGGAGAGTGCTCCATCTGAGAGGCAAGTCTCCCCCGAAAAGCTATATCGTGCAGCTTTATTGAGGAACCGATTTGCTGACACAATTCTTAAAGCTCGGGAAAAAGCACTGGAAAAGGTTTGATTATAGCCAGGTTACACATCTACTGGTTTGTACTTCTCTGTGAATTTTACTCAACCTCGATGATCTGCAATTTTGGTATTCAGGTTGAAAAGTGCGACCCTGAGAAACTAAGGATTGAGAGAGAGGAACTAGAAAGGCGGCAAAGAGAAGGTTTGGCATTTTAACTTTGCATGTAATCTAAATTAGATATGAATAATATGTTTTTTAGAGATTCTTGAAATCTTTCTTTAATGCTGAATATCTGATGATTTTTGTTCCTTCACTCCAATGTGTTATCAGAAAAAGCCCGATTGCAAGCAGAGGCCAAGGCTGCTGAAGAGGCTCAAAGAAAAGCTGAAGCTGAAGCTGCAGCTGAAGCAAAAAGAAAGAGGGAACTCGAGAGAGAAGCTGCACGCCAGGCATTGCAACAGGTAATATATGATGTAATTTGGCCTAGGCCTGCTGCAAGCCTCATGCCTCAAGTGCAGCTGAAAAGTTTGTAATTGCATGCAGATGGAAAAGACCGTTGATATCAATGAAAACAGTCAATTCATGGAAGATTTGGAAATGCTTAGAACGGCACAAGATGAACATGTACCAAGTTTTGTAGAGGAGACAAGCCCAGAACAATTTCAAAATGTGTTGGGTAGTCTTAAATTCCAGGGAAGTAGCAACCCCTTGGAACAGCTAGGATTATACATGAAGATGGATGATGATGAAGAGGAGGAAGTGGAACCACCCGAAAGTGTTGTAGATCCTGTCAAAGATGTAGAGGAAGGGGAAATAGATTGATATGATTTTTTTTTTTATCTTCTTCATAGTTTTGGTGTTAGTTGAAGAGCAAGAGCAGAATATGATCCTGAATTACTAGAAAGCACATATATATTTGTTGTTTCCAATGTGCTTAAGTAATGTGGGTTGCAATATTCTCAAGTTTCTTTGACAATGAATGAAGTTGGAGTAGCAGGAGTGCATGACAATGGTTTTTGAAGTTGGATGTGGGGATAAAAATTGGACATAGTCGTATGGAAGAGGATGGGGGGTGTTTGGATTGTTAATTTTCATTGTAAAAAGGAAAATTATGTTTGTATTATTACATTGCATTAGAGTTGAGGATAGGGGAGTTTTGGTTGAGGTTGGGCTTCTTTTTTTTTTCTTCTTTTGTTCCTTTGCTAATTGTAATTGTGAAATAGTGGAGAGTAGAGACAAAGGGAAATGACATTCCTTAGGAGTTGAATTATATTTCTTCTGGTGCCTATTAGTATTATTCATGTTAATACTGTTAAATAGAAGTAGGGTTTGGGCTGGGTTCTGTAATTTTGTTAAAAACAGTTAAATTATTGGCTTTGAGTCTGCATTGGAAATGGGCATCATGACCAGGTTCAGGTGATTAGATGTCTTTGTATTTTGTTATGTTTAAATTTTAATTATGGACTTTTAGAGTACTCCTAAGTCCTAACATCACTTACTGGCTAATTATTGGAAACTACGATTGTCATACCACAGCCATGATTCTTTCATAAGCAAGAATTCTATTCCAATAAAATCAACAGAATACCTAGAAGACTGCCATTATTACTACAAAAAGAAGATGATCCACCACATGCACACAAATGCCAGTTATATGAGCATCATCACCAGAAGCCTTTTCAACAACTATTGGCTTGTGCCAAGGATATTTAGCCAGGGTTTCCCTATTGAAATAAGCTCTCATAAACAACAATTACTGTACACGTAACAAAATTTTTAACTTAGATTTTAGACATGCACTCTTTAACCTTATAAATTAACTCTCAAACATACCCTCGTCTGATATACTAGAAGATTGAGTCCCGTTAACCACAGGCTGGTTTGACAAATTATCACCATAGTCACTTAGAATGCTGTAATCAAAGTCATCATCATCATCATCATCATCATCATCAGCTTTGTCACTGTCGGTATCTTCATGCATTTCTTCTAGCTTTTCTCCCTTTGCTTCTCTCTCCATCATCTGCTTTATGGCATCATCATAAGACATTTCGTACCAAACCATACCTTTCCCCACAATAGATTTGTTGTGTGCATCAGCCATGCGCTCTTGTTTACTCTTCTCTGAGTTTTTGGGTTCTCCCCAGTAGTCATACCGGTACAAAGGATTTGAGGGATCATATTGATCTTTCCCAAAGAAACTGGCATCTTTATACCTCCCTGGCTCTTCCAATGGTAGACCAAGAGCTTGACGGCTGAGAAAGATCATTTTACTTCATTAAGAAGGTACGTGAAAAAAGAGAGATTGTACAGCTTCATTAAAGAGAAAAAACTGGAGACATGGCCTGTCCTAGATGGCCATGATGTGATGATATACAAGCAACCACAAGGAATTACTATTATCATCGTCATCAGACTGCAGAAACTTCAATCAAACTGTAATTAAGCCAAAATGCAACTTTGAAAAATTCAACACTATCAGTTTCAGTCAGAAGACAAAATTGCACACCATTATACTTTTTCACTTCAATTACAGTCAAGCAAACACCACGAAAGAAATCAAGGAACTACAATGATTTCTGCAATATGCAAAATGATCCTAAGTATAATGCATGGAGATCCTAGGTTTCATGCAGTTGAAGACCACATTACTCAGTTCATAGATTATAAGGGTTTGGCAAAGGCAACAAAAATGTACAGATGGGATTACCAGCTGATGTCTCGGATTAAAGCTTCTCTTTCCTCAAATGACCGACGCCAATGAATGAAATCATACTCATCCATTTCAGTATTTCGTCGCAGCATTGAAATTTTATAATCCTCCCCTCTTTCTGTTGCTTCCCTTCTTAATCTATTATGTTGCTGCATTCAAAGGAAAAAGAAAGATAAGCTACTTTAGAAGATGTGTGCAGAAAATCAAAGAAAGATAAGCTACTTTAGAAGATGTGTGCAGAAAATCAAAGAGAGAAGTTTTAAATGTTGTCCACCATTTTTTTAATCAAAGGATGATTTCAATCTCGCAATAATAAAAGCTTCTATAGTTTCTTGAACTATCAATGAAAACCAACCTTGTCAGAGCTGCTTATAGTGCAAGTTTGTTTATCACATGAAACTATATCAAATCAACATCAAACATGAAACTGTTGTATTCACAGAAAATAAGTTTTTATAGGAAGCTGGATGGCATGACAACAAGACAAATCAAAATAAACGTAATCCAAAGTGCACCTCAGAAAAGATGTTCACACAAAAAGATCAGCAACCCTGAAATTGCTGTACTCAAGATGCATAGAAAAGGAATTACAATCTATTTGTATTATCCCGACAACCGAGAACTTTTGAGGTTCAGTTACTATTATCTCAAAGCCGCATGATGAGAAAATACCCATCAGAAGGCTAAACAAGAACTAAATGAAATTCTGTAGGATATTGCTTGCAATAATATTTTCAAAACAAGCGACCTCACAAAAAGTACCCACATTTGCATGGGAAAGAATCTTAGTAAAGTCCTGCATAATTTTCAAGTAATCAAGAACATGATTTATAAACAGTCAGGGAGGGATAGTTGACCTCACGCTCAGCAAAGGCAGCTTCCAAGTCAAGCTCTTTAACACTTGTTTTCTGCCAAAATAATATAGCAACAGCAAGTGAATGAACCAAAATATATTTCAAAATAGATTCAGAAATCAAGTACTCACCAGAATTGTTTTTGGTAGCTCAGTTTTCTTATATAGAACTTTGGTGTATTCAACACTGTTTTCTTCATTGAAATCCTCATCATCAGTTAATTCCGATAATTTTTTGTCCTTGTATTTATCAGGATTAGCCTCCATATCATCTAAAATCAATTGCTCAGCAACATGGATCTGCCACAACTGCATAACAGCAAAAGTGCAACAAAAAAGATGTCACTACTGCTCACATGGATCTGAGTTGTGACAGCATCATATGCCACTCAGCAATCCTTAAAATAGCAAAAGCAAGCATCCAACCAAGAGGGAAAAAAAACTTATATATTCTTTAATGTTCCAGTATCTATCCCAGTATATGCAACAATACCTGACATATGATCATCAATGTCTTTACAACAAGTATTGTTCATGATTCACTGCATTAAAACCTAAAATGCTATGTTTTGATAAAGAGTAAATGTGTTTCAAGTACCTTGTCAACATAAGGGTGATTTGACAACAATGGTTCCTCTTCCGGTTTAGTTCCTGGGTCTTTCCTTGGAACAGGAGGTCTTCCACAATCCCGCTGCCAAGAGAAGCATGATAAATAATTGACATAAGCGTTGTAAAAAAAATTATATACTTGAAAAAATGTAATGTACCGCACCCCATAAACACAATGTACTAGAAAAATGAAGGCTTCAGACACCAAATATTCTAATAACATTAAAGGTATTCATTCGCATGTAACCATAACTGCCTCCTTTAAGAAGCTAAAAACTTATTTCCTACTTTCTCACCAAACCATACAATCAAGGGCAAGACCCACAAGCTACAAGTGAAAGAACACCATTTACTGACCAAACTTATTGACTGTATATAAAGAGGATAGGCATCATATGGAATTTTGAGAAGGAAAGTAACAAACCCGTAACTCATCTGGATTAGTATCTTCATTACGATGAAAGATTGGAGGATAGTCAAATCTGTTAAATCTGGAAGTACGATACATATGTCAAAAACCGATGAGGAAGCAAATAGTGAGCAATAATATCAAACACCTCCATTGACTTGTCATTAGACAAAAATAACTGACAAGAATTACAGAACCATATACTTCAAACAGACAGAAATAGACAGACAGAGAGTTACATACATCAGGTGATCTATGTTAGGATCGACGAAACGCATTTCAATAGGAAATCGAAACCGATAGGGATCCCGTTTTGCCTGCAAAAAAAGAATAAACTCAATCACTAAAACCGACTAGAATATGAAATTCATAGAATTAAAGCTTTCAGCAAACAGGGCAGAAAATAGGGTAGGGGATGAACAAATTAACTAAAACTGCATCCAGTACCACTAGTAAAACACATTGGATACACTTCCAAAAAGTGATTTGACTTAGATATTTTCTGGAAGTCAATTTCAATTAAACTAAAATGTGACCTATCCATAGTGATGATAACAGAAATATAAATTTCTTACTGAAAGAAAATTGATCAAATTACATGTCGATAAAACTATGGACAGTCTTAATGAGTGCTTAAACACAAAATTTTGATAACCAATGTGTATCGAAAAGTCTATTTCTTTGTCTTCTTATAACTAAGGTATATTGATATAATCAAAATTTAGTTCTTTTGCGCTCATAATGTGCGCTACTAAGAGCATGTCAACAAATCAATAAACTACTCGAAAACAAATTCTCGAAGAAAAAAATTATTACAAAACCGAGTGACAACACTCACCAGAATTTCAACAATGACGTCCATGCCAACTTTTATGTGATGACGGATCCAATACCAATCATTATTTTTAATAGGAACCCATCTGAAACACAAAGAAATGCATGAATGTAGAAGGACGTTCTAGCCAAATCATCCATTTTTTTTCAGGAAAAACTTACAGTACAGCTATTTCCCCACTATTTGAACATGTAATAACCTATAGAATTGGAGGATCTGTAAAATATTGCAAGGAGTTGGCAAATTACACAAGCATCCGGTCTAGCACAGATGCACACAATTAAGCACATAGTTATATGGTATATGTGAGCACATAATCTATTTGAAAACAAACAGGGCCTCTTGAGGAAGACCTAATTGGGAAGTTTAGCAAAGCAGGTAGGAAGTAAAGTATTACAACCAAACAAATTGTTATAATTGTCCCTATAATTAATGAAGTTTAATCAGTAGTAGAAAGACAAGCACGGGTAACGATAATTACCCATCGTATACACCTCCAATGTCAACAAATGCTCCTTGATACAAGTGTAAAGTAGTCACTTTCCCAGCACAAATCTGCATAGACATTAGCCATCATACAACTTTTCATTTCAGTGATATGTAGATATATCAAGCACATGAAATATTTAAGGAGATCTAAGAACATATATCTGTATCTTATGTGGTTCTATGTACAAAGATATTCCAGCAGCTGCACGTATGCAAGGGATACATGCATCATAATTAAAATCAAGCCTAACAAATGTCTTATCGTGTTGGAAAAAACAAATAAACAAGAGAATTTAAACACAGGCAGGCACCATGGATATTTCTGGGATTGAATTAGTTATAATTCATTAGGACAATAACTAGA